TTTACCACCGCCCACGCCAAAAAGCCTTTCTTCTTAAATTCATCTACCTGAAGTCTCTCTCTCTCTCTCTCTCTCTCTCTCTCTCTCTCTCTCTCTCTCTCTCTCTCTCTCTCTCTCTCTCTCTCTCTCTCTCTCTCTCTCTCTCTCTCTCTCTCTCTCTCTCTCTCTCTCTCTCTTTCTCTCTCTCTCTCTCTCTCTCTCTCTCTCTCTCTCTCTCTCTCTCTCTCTCTCTCTCTCTCTCCTCTCTCCTCTCTTCTCTCTCTCTCTCTCTCTCTCTCTCTCTCTCTCTGTATGTGTTTGTATGTGTGTGTGTGTGTGTGTATTTATATCTTTGTGTACAATTTATATCTATACCTTTCAGTTTGTTTATCAACTTCTGCCGCATATTATTTATGCATATTCTCACACAGGTATTCATACAGTTGCTATACACCGACTGGACTGCACACACACACCTATTTTGTCCCTAGGTTTACCAAAGTCCTTTCGTCGCCTCAAAGGCCCACACCTCCCTACCCAATGCAATTTGCAGCGTCTACCTGCTTTCTAAATAACCTACAACCGGGGGCCTTGCTTCTCTCTCGGCCACACAGGGAAGCCTCTGTGTTGCTGTGGAATGTAAAGAAAAATGGATATCAAAGGACCAGCTTTTGAAAAGACACACACTTCATTATCCTCATATTAAATTTTCGTCGTAATCTCCATCGCCATCATTATCTTCATCATTATTTTCATCTTTATCATTAGTATTATCATTAATATCCTCCTTATCCTCCTCATCACCATTATCAACACCACCACCACCTTCATCATCTTTATTATCACTACCATTATCATGATCATCACCACCACCATCATCATTTATCAACACTATCATTATCCTCATCACCATCATCACCATAACATTATCACTGATGTTATTATATCACCACTGCTTTCATCACTTCTATTCGAAACACTACTTATCTCAAAGGAGCAAAAGTACCAAATAAAACGAACTAAAATAAAACAAAAAGAAAAAGAAAAAAAAAGCTCTCAGACAAAGCAACGTTTCCAGCGCATACATTCTGTGACCGGCAAAGTGGAGGAGAATTTTGAAGACATTTCCAAGATTATGTTGCACTGCCGAGAGATGTAATAAACAGGAGTGGCTAGAATCCTGTAAACTGACCTCCCTCAGGGACTCGTGCAAGTACCTTCAGAACACGGGACTTCGTTGCAGGAATCCTAACCGCGACGTTGCATCTTGTTGCTGAATAATGCTACTCAGCAGAAGGGAAATTTGACTTCAACTTCAGCCTAGGAAGTTCGTTTGCTTTGAAAATATATTGTAAGCGTAAGGAAGTAATGTGCAAACAACAAAACAGAATTTGCATAATATATCCGTCTGTTTCCCTCCCCTGTTTTTGTCTTTTAAAATCCTTTTTCTTTTTTTCATTATGAATGTAAGCAAGAGGCAGAATATGTAGACATTTAGGATCACCTTGTGATGTGTGTGTGTGTGTGTGTGTGTGTGTGTGTGTGTGTGTGTGTGTGTGTGTGTGTGTGTGTGTGTGTGTGTGTGTGTGTGTGTGTGTGTGCTACTTTTAGATTCAAAACAACGTAAAACCGAAGAAATCAACTCCCGGCCTCTTATCACCATCTACACATATACAAAAAACATAAAACAACATTTAAAGGCAAAAAAGAAAAAAAAATCCCCGCCTCGTGCAATCTGATCAGAGCCGCAGAAAATTTACGCAATCCCTTGCATGGTATTTCTCTCTAACCAAGTGCAAGAGCACGTTCGGCGGCTATGTATCTTGGAAAATATCACGCCCATTGCAACACAGCCAACAGGTCGGCGTTAAATTCTCCACAGGAAGGACAATGGTATCGCAGGGTGAGTCAGGGACAATGTATTCCGTAGTGTAATGGACGTCGTGTATTGTAGCGCCCTTGGACTAATTTGCATTTCAGAGTTTATATAGAATCTTTGGTAATTGCATTCCAGTTTATGTTAACTTTATGACAATTCAAATAAGACTGGAGGACGCTGTTGAAGGAATGTATAGCTATAATGTGCAGATATGGAAATTAGAAACGTTATGAGTAAACACTGCAGTCTAATAAATGCAAAGTCCAAAAACGCTATGCAATTAATTACAATTAGTCGACGATGGATTGTACGGAATAACAATCCCTCCAATTCAATTTGGGTCACATCCAGTGTGTTAAGTCCATGATACAAATGGTAAAAATGGGGCGTCATTGCACTGTTGCACTCATGGCGCATTTTAATGAGATTTGCAAGAGTTCCTTTGGATTCTCGAGAGTTCTAGTTGATCAATTTTCGCCTTTGTATGCTGTGAAATTTATTTTAGAAAATTTACAAAAGTTGCATTCCTTGTTTGTTGTTACGCCAGCATTTTGATAAACATTTAATAAATATTTTGGTTTCCTGATAATTTATATACATTCACATCAGAATTCTCATCATACTGAATCCTTTATTCAGTCTGTCTTAGACTTTATTCATTTTGCATCCCTACAATTATCAGCAACTTTCTCCTTGTGTATAATATATTCTTCAGATACTGTTTTGGCACGGTCATGTAACCTTTGCGAAATATAATCCTTACTCATATAATCACTGATACCAAATATTTAGTCGGAGGAAGAAACTCTATGTTCCTTTGTTGAGAAACCCTTTGTTCACACGTCACCTGATATTGACTGACGAGGCTCGGAAATCTTGTTTGTTATGTGTGGCATTTCCTTTATTCCATTATTTATATCATCACATTATGTATATATATATATATATATATATATATATATATATATATATATATATATATATATATATATATATATATATATATATAATATATATATATATATATATATATATACTAATATATATATATATATATATATATATATATATATATATATATATATATGTGTGTGTGTGTGTGTGTGTGTGTGTGTGTGTGTGTGTGTGTGTGTAAATAAATAAATAAATATATATATATATATATATATATATATATATATATATATATATATAAATATATATAATATAATATAATATATATATAGATATATATATATATATATATATATATATATATATATATATATATATATATATATATATATATATATATATATATATATATATATATATATATATACATATATATAAATAATTATAATATATATAGATATAGATAGATATAACTAGATATATATAGTATATATATATATATATATATATATATATATAATATATATATATATATATATATATACACACACACACACCACACACACACACACACACACACACACACATATATATATATATATATATATATATATATATATATAGTATATATAGCACATCTAACGAACAGGAAATAAAGCGACGAATCAGTCTAGGCTGGAGTGCCTTCGGCAGGCACAGTAGCACACTAAGAGGTTCCTTGCCAATGGGCTTAAATAGAAAAGTCTTTAACCAATGCGTCCTCCCAGTCATCATCATCATATCGTATCACACCAGAATTCTATCCATATCTTGGCTCTATCAGTGACCTTTTGTAGGTCAGGTGGATTAATATTGACAGGGCTTCTTGAGCAATTAAAAAGGATATGGTCCATGTCTTGGATAGGGAACCCGCAATCACACGTAGTGGACGTGGCAAGGCCCCATTTTGTTAAATTATCCCGGGTTTTACCTACACCAGATCTGGCACGGTTAAGGGTGCACCATTCTTTCCTACCAAGGTTTGTACCTTTTGGTAGTTTTTCTTTCGGTATTGGTATGGTTGGGTGTTCTGGTCCCAGGTTTTCCTTTTCTCTCCATTTATACATTCTATAATGTCTTGGAGTTATACCGCCAGGCAGCCTTTCGACTGTGGTAAAACTTTTCCTAGATCTTAGTCTGGTCGGGGGTGGTATGTGGGAGTAAAGTGGATGTCGATCGTCCTGCTCTTGCTTGCGTTTTTCCACTTTGGTGGTTGTTTCTCTTCTCAGGGCTGGACGTGGAATACCTGAGAGTCTATAAACGACATTCACTGGAGTAGGTCTCAATGCACCAGTTATCACGCGGCAAGCTTCGTTTAGTACTGGGTCTATTTTGCTGGCATGTGAGGATCGAGACCACACTGAGTACAGTATTCTACTGTAGAATAGCACAAAGCCAGGACAGCTGTCCTTAAGGTCTTAGGGTCTGTGCCCCATTTTGTTCCAGCCAGTTTTTTCACAAGATTAAGGCGTGAAGACACCTTTTTCCGAAGCCTCTCAACATGTGATCTGAATGAGAGCGTTCTATCAAGGGTTACACCCAGGTAAGTAGGGTGATCATGAATGAGGGATTTACCATTCCAATCGATGTTCAGCTTTCGGGAGGCCTCTCGGTTATTAAGGTGGAAGGCACATACTTTAGTTTTCCCTGGTTGGCATTTAGTGACCAATCCTCATAATATCTCCCAATCACATTGAGCGCTTCTGTCAAAGTCGCCTCAATATCTTCAAAGTTCTTGGCTTGTGTGGCAACGCAGAGATCATCTGCATAGATGAAACGTTGTGTGTTGGGATAAGAAGGTTGGTCATTGGTGTAGATGTTGAAAAGCAGGGAGGATAACACTGATCCCTGTGGAAGTCCGTTCTTTTGACCTCTCCATCCGCTATTTCTGCCATCCATTTCGACATAGAATCGTCGGTTGTTGAGTAAGTGCCTCAGGACATTTACCATGTGTCCATTTATCCCCATATTAGCCATTTTCATTAGCAGGCTGCGGTGGTTGACCGTGTCATAAGCTGCTGTGAGGTCAACCAGGACTATTCCTGTTTTAAGTTTCTTCTCAAATCCTTCCTCAATAAACTGGACAAGATTAAGTACTTGGCCACAACAGGAGCGCCCTTTTCTGAAGCCAACTTGCTCCTCAATGAGTTGGTCTTCGACTGATGGAGCTAGTCTATTGAGGAGTAGTTTTTCGAAAAGCTTGTATGAC